TGGACTTCAGAGCAGACAGAGGTGATTAAATCAATTCCAGAAGCTTGAACTGGTTTATAGCAAGCAGAATTGTTAATATCCTTCCATTGTTATTCTTAGACAATACAAGACTGCATATTCCCAGAAAGTACATAAAAATATTAGTTCTTTATTTAAAACAACAAGCTCTCTATATAATGTTATCTGTACTTTTCATGGGCAAGACATGAAATTTCTTCTCTTGTTCTGTTTCACAATGAGTGAAAACTTCTCCATGAAATATAATGGCATGGGCCTTCAGTCACCTGCAGATCCATGGGATCCACAGCCATGCCATTCCCTCTGTTAAAGCTTCTCATAATCTCGTCTCTACCTACAAAGTTAGAATACTGAGCCAGCTCACTCACTCTCATGGTCTTTTCCTATTACAATGCCCTGTAAAGCACTTAATGCAACAGACGGGAAGCACAGAGCTGAAAGAAGGAACTGCGAGGAAGAAATGTGTGCTTTGCCATTGATTCCCACTGCTTTTGTAGCTGACCTAAATTAAGAAAATTGACATTCCTTCATACCTCTATGGTCTAGATCCCCTTCCTCTCTCCCAGTGTGCTGGTTTCAGGCTGCTGCATCCATATGCTTTTCCCACAGCTGGGACAAGTACAACAGAGACCACTAGAAATAATTTGATATGCCATCAATTATATATTTGCATTTCACCACTGAGGCCTACTCTTCTAAAACCTAAATGAAATTACATCTGATTTATGAAAGAGTGGAAATGTCAACTGTCCTATGATAATTGGCTAACTGTACACTTGCACTTGTCCCACCTTTCCAGGAAGGCTTCATGGTGGTTTATGAAGTTCCTGGAAGGACCAGCACCAGAATAGCATAATATGACCAAAGTTTAATAATTATTGCTTATGTTACTACAGTACCTAGGAGGCCCTGTCATCTATCAGAAGCCACTGTGCTAAGCAGTGTATGAATACAGAGAAAAAAAATAAGACAGCCCCTGCCTCTAGAAACAAAAATCATGAGAGATGGGTACAACATACTGCCATGCTATCTTAGGCAGTCAGTCTTGTCAAGACAGCACCATCTCCACTGTCAGCTTTTCTGCCTCCCTCAATACGAAGGACACTGCTGAAGAACCTGCTAAGTTTACTGCTTGTGGCAGGCATAAGCTTCCCAACTGAAAGATAATTTGCAGAACCTCATCTAAATGCAGGTTTTACAGAATGACATCTGTAATTTATTTCTAGAGTGTCTAACTTTCTTTTTGTCTTCAGCTCATTACTTCTGTCTCTGTATTAATACAGTAAGTTCATGAATCTTATCGGGAATTTCCAGTATTTAGTGGTGGCCACTGTCTCTTTTAGGAAACCACATGCGAAAATTCAGACTTTCCTGTGGTATTCTTCAATGTGTGTTGCATGTGATTTTGGAATTCTATACAGTGACTGTAGCTCTTCCATACAGTATTGTCTTATGAAGAACCTAGAATTAGCATTTACTTGGGAGGGAAAAGAAAGATAAGCAGAAAGAGAGAGAACCAAATAATCTAATTTCTCTCAATAAAGAGTTTTGAGTCATGTACTAAGCATGTACCTTAATCTCATCTTCTCCAGTAGCACGGAATGGCAGAAACTGGAAAGCTTCTACTTATTTCCTTCACTGGCCTGAATTAAAACCCTGTACATTTTAGAATTTACACCAATTAAAAAAAAAAATCCAAACAACAACTGTTGCAACACATTTTCTAGGCTGAAACTTGAGAATTCCTTTCAAAATTAGATCATGTAACAGAACTACTATAAGAAGATAACTCTTCTGTGCATTATGCTTGGCTTTTGATTTCTCCCTCATTCCTCTTATGGGAACGCGTTCAATCCTATGTTTTTCACTCACAATACATTTGTTTAGTCTGCCACTTCTATGTCTCTCCCTAATGTCTACTCAGTGTTCACACTAGTGTCTGAACAAATCATCATGTTACATGTTTGTCTGCCAATGAGTCACCAATACTAAACAGTGCATCTATTAAATAAATATCCTTCCCCTATCAGATCCAGATAATGTGTGTAATATGAGATATAAAAGTGTTGTGTGTGAAAAATTTATAGAATTATGCCCATTTAGCAAACCTGAACCATTTTCCTCCTCCCCTCCACAGAGATTCTTGAGGAGGCAGGAAAATTCTCTAGGGAGTCTAAGGTAGTACATGGGGTTTGGTCATCTGACAGACCTTCAGGAGGAAGTATTTTGTGAATGTGCAGAAGTCTGTGATTGACAAGAAGCACACTGCTCTATAAAGTCAGAAACTGTCTGCTTAGCTCCTGTGAGAATGGTAATTGTACATCTGGTGACCTGAAATGCCTTCTCAGCTGGAGAGAGGGACTTGGAGAAATTGTGAGTCACAGCTGTTCATGTAAAAATCCTGCCAGCAAGCACTTGTGGAACTTCACTGTTCTCCCTCTGCATGGACTCCGTGACGTTCTGTCACCACAGAGCATTTGGAGCTGGGAATATTGCTGCTCCCAGGACTCCTTCCACTTCTGTGCACAGCACAGCTCTGCTTGAAGTAGTATGATTTTGGTGAGATACTGCATAAGCTAAGGCCAGTGAGAGGTTCCAATGGATTTTACAAAGTTAGAGCAAACCCCAGTCTGCAATGTTAACCAGGCAAAACAACATAAAAATCTGAAAATTACTGAGATGAAAAAGAAAACTTTATTGTACTGAAATATAAAGAGCCAGGGGTTGTGATTTGTTCAGTAATTAAGCAATGCTATATACCTCCAGCTTACCAACCAAACCTTTATAACTACAAACCTAAAGCAGACTCTTCACTGCAAATCTGTCCAATAGTACAACACAGGGAGTAATCAGGTTTCATTCATTTTCAGTGAGCTCTGCTAAAACTACCAGACTCTAAATTGCTGCTTTTGCCTTATATTTTTTCAGTCACAGAAAGACATTTTAGCCTAATTTAAGTATATTCACTAGTAATTCTTTATTGTGGTTATACTCTTTTTGCCGTCATGTTTCCTGTTACGTTTATGTATCTTTCTTTTCTATATCATCAAGACTTACTTACTGTCATATTTATAACAGCTGTATTTTTATATCCTTAAATACTGCATTGCTTTAGTGATATCTACAAATTTATTTTGGGGAGTCTTAGGTGTTTCAAAAAAAACTACTGGCTATCACAATTTTTATTGTTAAACAAAAAGGTGCTTCTTTCTGTATTCAGACCTCCTAGGCCTTAAAAAAGCATAGAGCAGGTTGCTATTATTTGTCATTTCAATAAAGGTAAGTTGCACTATGCAGTACTGAAAAGGAAGTGACCACAGCTTTTATAAAGCCATTACCCAAACAGCAGTTAACTTTATGGTATCCATGATATCTGACTTCCCTTTTTCAATACAGTTATGGCTGGGAGAGCCCTATCATCACCTGGAAAATCCATGAGTGAAAAGCACTGAGCATATGGTTACAGGAATGCAACTATTTTTAGCAAAAGAATCTTCTAAGAGCAAAAGAAGCTTTATCAGCAATGAAAACATTTAATGGACCACTACTACCTCTGACTTTACAAAATAGAAAGAATAATGAAACAAATTGTCTTTAAATTTGCATTTGTAAAGTAGAAAAGCATAGAAAGACTCATCCTTCATAAAGGACACGCAAACACGATTTAATATCAACACAGCCTCAGCAGAATGTTTAAGTTGAACAGGCAATACTACATGTTATAAATTATTCCACTGACACAGTAAAGCAAAGACTGCTTATAATTAATACTTGAAAGAAGATAACACACTTCAACAGTGGAAAAAATCAGAAAAAAAAGAAAATAAAGCTCAGGAGAGATTTCTGATTCATCAGGAAGGTGTCATTAGCTGTCACAAGGAAATATTATTTAGGTTTAACTCCATTTGGCATAGAAGAAAGTGAATCTCATCCACAGCTGAGACAAAATCAGCTATTGCTGGATCTAAACTGGTGAAAAATATACTCTGTCAACTGTATCAGGTACGTGGACAACAGAAAAATTATCATCCTCAAAGCTGACTCTATATAGGGAAATTAAAGCAGAATAACACTCACAGTTCACTGTAATTGCTTTACAATTTAAGAAAAAACCCCAAACAAAACAAATAAAACAACCAAAACAAACAAAAACCCCCCACCATTCTAAAAAACCCCCACTGATACTTAAAACATTCATTTTGGAAACACTACTTTTAAAAAGTGTATTATTCTTACAAGTATTATCGCCATCTATTGACCCTTGCTTAAAGATCTACTTAGGTAGAAGTCTTGAATGAAATAGCTTTGTCATCAAGTATGAAATGAAGACAAAAATCATCCCCATTAAGCAGCATAAAAATGAAATAGCCTTTTACATCTAGTTGGCAAGGGGAACCACAATGACCACAATAATTAACTCAAAGTATACAGTTTGATTTCATAACAAGACATTTTCAAAATCCCAGCATTGATATGACTGCGGATACTCATATTACTCAACTTCAAATTACTCATATTCTATAGGCATATGTGAGTCTATTTATAAATATATATATGTACATAAATATACACATATATATATATACATGAATCCTTGATGTTACACGAATTTTGGAAAACATAACAAATCAACAAAATTTGACAAAATGAACAATAATATAGTGAAAAGAATCAGAGGATTAGAATGATAATCAATGTCTTCTCACAGCATTTGCTCAAGCTGCACATACCTGATATACAGTAATGTTTAATTTCAGTTTCAGAAATAATAAATGGGGTTATAAATGTAAGAATCAAACTGTTTGTTATGCATGTAATTTTTTTCTCTGTCAGTCTATAAATTTTTATAATGACAGCCTAGTAGAATCTTTTTAAATTCACCTGCATGGATTTATTCATGCAATATCTTTTAATTAGAAGACCACAAATTGTAACAGTTACAATTAAATTTGTCAGTTACAGTTCAGTCACAATACAAAATTGCCCTTTGACTTAAGGGCCACTATAAGGGAAGCTTTCAGCACTAAAGGACAGTTATTGCAAAATCAAAGACAGACTTAATAAGGGTCTTTCAATTTAACAGCAGAGTTTTAATACACAGAGATCCAGACATACTTTTCCTCAGGACTTCAAAAAGTCCTATACTACAGTGTGCTAATAAATATACATGAAAAGATTATAAAATTAATAAAAATGAAATTAAATCAATGAAACATGGGAGTTGTTTACATTCCAGAACATTTAATTTATAGCTTTTAAACAGCATTGCAGACCAAGTTAAAAAATGTAATCTTTTTTTTAGGCTTGCAAGTTATTCAAGTAATGTATACTGAAAGGCACGTCTGAGAATTTGTGTTTCAACAGTTAAAATTCAAGTCTTACCTGGAAAAGGATGGCAGCATAAAATCAAGTACATAAATACAGTTACACAGTTTAAAATTCTTAGTGCATATCAAAATATGCACTAAGCTCTTTGTTCCACCCTCCTTTAAACTGGCATGTATGGCTCACTGCGAGATGTACCTGATCTAGTCTGGAGACTGGTGTGGTACCTATGGTGGCAGTGTACTGTTGGGAACAGAAACATTACTAGGGAAGCAGTAGAACATTTCTTTTCCATGGCTACACTCCTGGGGGTGCAAGACAGTCATAACAAACCCAACTGCCATCACTAGCACACCAAGAGCAAGAATCAGGCTGGATATGAGGTTATCAGAATGGTTCCATCGCTCCTTGGACAGCCTTAGATAACATGCTGATGGGATGATAAAAACAAGTGGGGTAGCACTCAGAACTCCCTGTGTGTGGGAAACAATAGAAAAAACCTCATAAGCACATATATTTAGATGTGAAGAACAAAAACCTAATTTTTAAATATCAGCTTCACTATTGAGTAATTGTTTAGGCAAAAAAATACTGCATTGATAGAATGCTTGCTTTTGATGCATTTGTATATTTGGCCTGAATAGGTGTGTGTTTGTATGCACCCATTTAATTACTTTTATTGATATCTACATTCATACAGAGGTAAATTTTCTGCAATTCTAATGTAAAAACAGAGGGGGAAAATGGGAAAGAAATAACCAACAGTTGTTATGAATGAGAAAATTTAATGGAAACATACATCCTGAGCAAACCAATAGGAATATTGTTAATTTTTATCCAGTTATAATTTGCAAAAGGTTAACTGAGAAGAAACTACATAGGTAATTATTTTAAAAGGAGGGTAATCGGTCAGCTTATCTGCATATTCTGACCTGTTTTATAACACTACTGGAAGCACGATCTGCTAAATCACTGCTACAAAAGTGCTCATGATGGACCTCTTAGCAGAAACTGCACTGTGGATCAGAACAGTGTACATGTGTATTACGATACGTGTATCATAATACACATATGGATGTATCATCTATCATACATGTATTATGTAGCCTAAAGAACAACTCCCTCCATTTTGTTTCATCACTAAGCATGCAGTATATGATTTGAAACTGTCAGTGAATGCAGGGACAGGGATGTAAGGAGGCAGTTCTAAAATATTTCTATATAGAAGCAAGGGCTGTCCTTAAAAAGTTTTCTACATCTTCTAACTTTCCTATTTCCACATCTTTTTTATTTAAAGATAGATGACCTAAAAAGGTAAACTGTTAAGATACAGATTGGACTTTTTTTTAATTTAACATTTCCTTTTATTAAATGTACATTCTGTGCAAAAATACTGACTTCATCTGTTAAGTCCACTTAGTCAAGTAGTCTAGGTCTTGAGCAGACTACACAGCAGTTCCAGCCAGCCAGCCGAAGTTACATAATGTGTTAAAACTGGTTCAAGGCAGCAAGTACCTTGTGTGGGCTGCCTAGTAAGCTTCAGCTCTGCTATGAGGGGATACCAGACACAGGAATGTCTACTGGCAAACAAAGCAGTTCCCTTAAAAGTCATACACCCATATTCTAAAATTGCTCCCTGTTAAGTCCAAAGCAGGGAAAAATTCCAGTTACCATCTCTCTGGTCTCACTACTACTGGTTCTTTCTTTCTACACCCCTCTTTTTTTTTTTGCCCCTTTGGCACAAGGCAGCACTAGGATCTGTCCCAGTGTTTAATAATTTGCCAACTTCATCAGAGGCAGAGACTAGAGAAAGAAATGCTAGATTCAGTATCACTACACAGTTTGGATGAGTATTTTAGTGATCTCTACTGCAGTTTAAATACTTTTGTTAAGTCATAGCCATTTGCCCTATCTCCAAAACTGTTCTAAAGGCCCTCCCCAATCATATGAACTTCACTTCCTGAACTTTCTTTCGCCTTTATTTGCCTGATTTTGAAGCAGTGAATAATTCCTTTTTTCCCCGCTAACATTACTACTGAATATTATGTCAAATTATTTAAGATTTTCAGTAGAGCTATGGATTTTACAGTGTTCTGTTTTATTAAAAAGTGATTTTTTAAATAAAAGAGTATAGAGGTTCACTTACATTCAGCTCTAAAACTATTCCAAGGCAATCATACACTAATGATACACCAGTCGCCACAGCAATGATAACTACTGTCACAACAACATGGAAAACTGTTGAGAGGTTCCCATGGAAAAACACATTGGCAACCACCTGAAACAGAACCACAATTTTTAACCTTGTTTTTGCTCCTTATGTTATCAAACAGATTATTCCAAATCTTCTAACCTTCGGAAACTAAAAGAGTGTATGAGAATAAATTGACTGAATTTTACTTATCTTGCTTCAAGGAAACATCTCCATTTGCTTCCAAATATAACACATAACAAGCATTACTAAAATTGCTGAACACTTCCAAGACTGACTTAGTTATATCTGCAGGATTTAGAGGATACTTAACTTTCTTCTCATTTGGCCACTTCAGAATAAAACCAAATTACAATTATTTATTGAACAGACAGATTTCCTAGATGGAGATGTTTCTAAAAAAAGAAAAACTATTAAGTGTAAAAAGTATGCTATTTTTGGCAATTCTCAACATAGTAACAACAGTGGTATTTATGCCAAACTTGGAATTTTAAGCAGTTCTGATATTATTAAGTAATTCTTAATACGACATTGGGTAATACAATAATGAATGTAATGCAACATGACATTGCCAGTGTCTAAAGAGTAGAACTAGTCCCTCATATTCATTGCACGTATCAGGATAAAATATGGAGATATTTACTACAGATCAACCATAGACTTCAGCTACAATATGTATTAATAATGTGAGAATATTATCATTATATAAGAACATTGTTAAAGGGAAAATGTAATAAATTCTTACCTCTCTGGTCACAAAGCATTCAAGGGGGAAGGTCAGAATTACAGTAACTCCATAACAAAACCTTCCAAATGTAGCAAGGTTGTCATCTCTACAGTAGTTTTCAAATATGTCTCCTGAGGCATAGCAAAATATAATTAGCTTGAACTTCACATCATTTGCCTATTTGCAAATTGAAGTGCAGATTACTGGAGTTACTGGAGTAATTGAGACTTTCTGATCCCCTCTCCTGACACATATCAAGAAACTGCAGTTATAGTCACAAGTTGCATCCAGGAGAAACTTTCAGCTTACGCTACTAGTAGCAGTGTTTTTCTCTGAAGTAGCATTTATCTTTAAAAAATATCTTAAAACATACATATCAGAGTTTGTAATCTGTTATCTTCCCCTTAACACAGATTTTGTGTAACATGCTGGTGTTTGTTTAAATAAAAAGATTCAGAAAGAATCTGTGTGTAAAAGATACATTTCCTCTAAATTGTAACTCCCAGAACAACAATTACACAAAGAAGACCAGGGAGTTCTCTCTGAAGAACTGCATTTCCCTGGTAATATCTAATCCTAGCTGGTAAGCCGTAGTGAACAATTTCAAATATTCTGACCCCAAAAGCCCATTATAACATATGGATTATTACCTAGCAAATCTTATATCTAACAACAAAAGCATTAGTAAAGAATTCAAATCATCATCTTGCTTAGCGTTTACCACAAGGAATCTGTAATAATGATCTCTGAGGCAAAAGTGACAGTGCAAGACAGCGATGAGATGACCCATTAGGTCTTTTCTATCCAATTACAACACTGTCTCATGATTTACTAATTTTAGGCTCACAATGGCACTGAAGAAGCAATAAGGTGTACTTTACAGAAAACAGCCAAAAGGTGTAGATGGGGAGACAAGGTAATATGGAACCCACTTACACTAGAGTTGTATGCTGAGGGACAGCTGCAGTCAGAATATATATTTTAAATGTCTGAGCTAGTCTGCACTTAGTCTAGCTATAGTACATCTAGTACATCTAGAACAGTAACTTACTCTGCTGGAGTAAGAACTGGAGGCAGGAAAAAAGGACAGATCAACTAGTAACCCCCATCATATAATTCCTGTGTTCTCAACTACATGCTACTGCTCATAAGAAAAGCCTTCTACAATCTAGAACATCACTATTAAATAACAAAAAATCTGCTTGCTTACAAAATGTGTATTATTCCTGAAAAGGTAATGCACTGAACAAATTTATGCCTTGTCTTTCTGAACATACCTTTCTTACTTCAACAAAATTATGTTAAATAACATGATGCAACATCGGTTATATATTTGTACTTTTATGTATATTCATATACCCACAAAGGGGACAGTAGGATTAGCTACAGCAGAACAGTGGTTGTAAAGTCAGGAAATATCTATTAGTCAGAGATATATCAGCACAGACAGGAAAAAATACAAGAAAATGTACAGAAAATATATACCTGACACCCTGTAGAAAAATCAAGGCAATTTTTGTTCTTACTGCTCTCTCCTGCTGGACCATGTTGCTAAATCATAGATTTTTAGTCCTCAGAAGTGTTTTGGCTATGGAAGTATTAAAAGAGGACTTTCACCAGTGATGCTTATACTTGGGAATCTGACACCTATTAATATGCAGCTGACACTTTTGTATCCCGATTTGGTTGTTGGGTAACCATGAGGAATGTTGTATTTCTGTCCATATATACTATGATTTTTGTCACTTAGATATTTACAGCAAAAGTCAGACAGAAAGGCAGAAATGTATGGATTATAGCAAGCACCAAAATTGAGGGACTGAGCAGTTTACCTTCTGTGTATCCTGTGAAAGTCATATATCCACATGTAGCAAACACAACACTGATTACAACAGCCAGTGAGACAGACACATGTGTGACTTGAGACCAGTTCTTTAATGTGGGTTCTTCCAGAGACCCATATATTAAGAAGCTGTTATGGTTGCAGATGAATGCTGAAACACACAGGACAGTTCAAGCAAATGTATGAATTCACACATAATGCATAGAGAGACACAGCACTGTTTGAATCTACTCATTATTAAATACAAACATTAATCCTGCAATGAGTGGCAAAGATAAATGGCTAGAACTTTTACTTGCTTAGTTGATTTGATGAAAGTGCATAATCATCCTGATTCTGATTACATTACCCTTAAATGTCATGCCATTCCCCACCCTCCACACCTCCATTCCATCTCTTCCTGTTCTTCTTTTGCTTAAGAACCCAAGTAGATTTGAGACTATTTTTTTTTAATCCACAGAGTCATTTGCTACTTTCAGACTTCCTATGGCATCCATTGGCAGCAGCAAGCACTGGGAGGCCTCAGATTATCACAACTCTAACAGGAAATAATATACCAGATCCTGCAGGCAGGAATAGATTTCAGAATGAGGACTTTTCTGCTAGAGGTTATCCAAGGGAATGCAGAGCAATCACAGCCTCCTCACTTTATCAGTTAGACTAATCCCATTGATGCAGGTGCTTTGAGATGAGCTGGATTCACGTGCACACCTCTGTCTCTGCTACAGTGGCAATAGCTAGGGGGCAATGGATGAGGATAATGTCTTACACCATAAAAATGAAATTCATATGGATGACTCAGTCAATTTCATTTTTTCCCTACCAGCTTAACATTAATACAAAAAAAAAAAAAAACCAAACAAACCCAAACCACAAAAAATTCAATTTCTTGGTCCAAAATATTAAATGATTTCTTACAACTGATCTGAATATTGAAAAAAACAGAAAAAAACACTTACCAAATGACATCACCCCAATGGCTTGTACTGCATTTGATTTTGCAAATGTCCATGCATTTTCTGATTTGGGTCTAAAACAGATATTTGTTTTAATAGATTATCCTCTTTTCAATTATCAGTTATTAAAAATTACTTAAAATATTATGCTGTAATACAGAACTGCTGCTAGTCAGATCTCCAGAACTCTCTGAAGTAGGCCCCAGTGTTCACAACAACTTCACAACAAGCCTGGGGAGATACCTTTCGCACCTCCCTTGTTTTGACTCAAGTATTTCTGTAACCAGATTTCACAGTAAAAAATGCAGCCTGTTTCAGTTTTGTAAATAAACTCTTCAAGTCATCATATACCAAGAAATAGCAACAGGAAAGGCAAAGGCTGTTACTAAGGTTATTTCAATCCAAAATGTCTTCTGACTATTTAGAGGTAATTTCTATCTTTGAATTTGCACATGTAACCCATACAGTCTAGAGATATCTTTTCCTAAGCTACAAATCAAGTGAGGCAGTCTACCTTTTTTTATACCAGTTCCAACTATTCCTCATAGTAAAAAGATTCTGCTACTTTCCAAAAGACAAAAGAAAGTGTAAGAGGGTACAGATAAAAGAAAGTGTAGGAGAGTATATGGAGATTTTTATAATCAGGCAAGAATATAATATTCCCCATATCTCCTTCTTTAAGGTATGCGCACAGTTTTGGACCACAGTTTTGGTAATTGTAATGCTTAGAGGAGAACCACAGAAAACCAACAACAAACTGTTTTTAAAAAACATTTACTGTGTGAACTTCATCTCTGAATAAAGAACCAAAATGAAGAAATGAGGAAGGACACAAAATATCCTTTTCCAGAAATATAATTTGCTAAAAACATTAAATGAAATTCACGAGCCAGTTAAACATTGTATTTGTGATATTAAAACAGACAAAGAAACAAACGATGCAGAGAAGCTTGCTCTTAAAAAGTTGGCTGCTACTAACTTTGATTGCTGTTTTTATTTAGAGGAAAAGCTGCTGCCACCTGAGGCTTAGCTGCTCTTTTCCTACTGCCCTAGAAAGCAGCATGGCACTCAGGCCACTTCTGTGAAGGTAACAATGACAGCTTTGTCTCTCCCTCTCTCTGGTGATAACTAGCTGGTTTTCACAGCTATAATGGCATATGCTGTGCCTGGTTTCATTGCTTTCAAATGTTTAAATTCCACCTCCAGCTCCTAAAATTAAAAAAAAAAAAAAAGAAAAAGTTGCTGTTTCCTCTTTCAGAACTCTTATCTTGCTGTTTCTTGAGTGCTCAAATAGTCAATCCTTCCTTTTTAATTAAAACTCCCCACATTTACAGTATCTAATGCACATTCAGTTCAGACTTAGACCACCTTTTCAGCTCTTAAGCTGTGGTTGCTAAGCTTAACTTTGAAGTGAACAAAACCTGAGTACAAAAAGAAGTTCGTTTTCTTTGTCCTCAGATGTAGTATATTGTTTTGATTGCTGTAACATACTGCTTCAAGTCTTAAGCAGCTGAATACAGCCCTCCTAAAATATCCTCAGACTCATGTAGATGTAATAAATACTATGGATGAAATAGAGCTATCTGGCATATGTCTTGTGAAATAGGACTTATGACCCTATATAGCTGCTGTAGTTCCTTATATGGGCTCCCTTAACTTTATGCCACTGATTTCAAATCACTATCACTAGAAATGCCTGTGGAAATAATTTTGAGTGTATTATTTTTCAGTGAAATATTCACAGTTGATTGGAAAAATATCAATAATACTTCAAAATAAAAATAGCATATAAAAAACTAACACTACAACGGTTCCACTCTGTAACCACTAGAGGTCAGCTTTGAGAGTAAACATACAGAATGAAAATTTGGTTTATATTATCCTTTGACAGCAGAACTTATCAGTTTTCTTTGGCCCTTTTCTATTAATAATTAAGAATTAGATTATCTAGTACCTTAAAAACCAAAATATTTTTAAATTCGCAGAAATAAAGAATGCTTCTGTCTGAAACACATTTAATTTCTGTTAAAATGGTACATCCTGTGCAACATTATAGCTATATTATGAGCTCCTACAAATAGGGATTTTAAAAAAGGGAATGCAGAAAGCACGTGAATTTAATTTGAAACATTTTGAATAAAGGGGCCAAATAATCAATTTTAAAAAATAAAAATCACAGTAGCTAGTTCTCCTCCTGCACAGTGTTAGCTTATGCACTAGCAATATGCAACAGACCAAAATACAGCTTTACTTTAAGGATGAATGGCAAATCAGATTAGGAGTATTATTTGGGGGAAAAAATCCAAAAGAACAAAATCCTGCTTATTTAGCAGCCTAAGAAGATAAATTCCTTCCATTCTAGTTGCAGAATAGAGGAAGAATTTCAGATCCCTGATTGGAACACTACCAGCAGCTTGTAATGTCCTACAGTGCATGTTGGTACAGATGTACTATTTTCTACAGTAGCTCATATACTGCTGCATGTGTTTTGAAAAACATTTTCATACCGTGGGAATAGAGGGATCTCACACCATGAAAGCACTCAATAAGAAATTTCATTTCTGAGAGTCATCAGCTGTAGAGTTGTGACCACATCAGTAAGAAATTACCCCAAGTTCAGTTTGCAGGACATACAGACTTATACAAGGCTCCTGGAAAAGGGTGCAGGTGATATGAAAGTATTTATAGAAAATAAGACTTCATAGTCAGAAAGAGAAAATTGTGTCAGGGAACAATAGGCATTAGTTATGGAAGAGCCATACAGTGAACAATCATACAAAATTACTCACAAGGCAAAGGGCAGCTAGTGGAAACATCAAGAGTCAAGGTAAACATACACACGTTGATATAAATATAGCCGTCTGTGTAGGCAGATGCACACACACCCTGAAAAAGTGTGTAGAATACAGGGTAACATCACACCTGTTGTGCTCTTTCAATCCTGCTGCAACTGTTCAAGACGGACTTTTTTTTTTTTTTGATGGACTTTGTTCTGACCAGTTTGACCTACATTCTTGTTAGGGGTTGCTAGGGGAAGATTTTAACTGCTGCTTATACAAGGATAGCAGTAGCTGCAAAAATCGATGAATGACAAAACCAGCCAGCTCTCTGTTCCTCACTCAGTGTATAAAAACACAGGCTATGCCTGCATGAACAGAAAGGTTTTTTTCATGCCAGAGAAGAAGTATTAGATGAAACAACAAAAGGTAACTAAATGTGCTTGTTGACAGCTGTACTGTCTATCATACATAGCAGAAGCTTTAACACAAAGTAAAGCCTGAGATGTGATTCTTGGAACAAAAATAATAAAAGATTTAGGAAAAAGACAGTCCAAGGGAGTCCCCAGACAGGAAAAAGTTTCAGCTGAAACTAAGACAACAGCAAGACAGACTGCAGGTAGTGAGGCTTAGTGATGAGGAAAACCTTAAGGTTAAGAAGAGAAGGCTCTACTCAGTCTTCAGCATATGTAAGTGAAAGTATAGTATAATAAGCATGTTAGTGAGTTTTTAAAAGTTTTGAAAATATTCATGTTTATCCACATAAGAGCAGAGGGAAATGAAAAGAACAAATGAACCAGACAAAGGTTAAGACATCCTAGCAGTGTGAAAGGAATTTCAAATCCAGACCATGAGTGAGAGTTGGACAAATTTGTCTGGCAGTCTAAAATGGCCTATCTTCTACTTCTTGTAAAATACAGCATAATATTCCCCATCTATCTATGTTATGAAAAAAATCTTTTCTGTCATTTATGTAGAAACACCATCAAATATAATACAGTAGCAGTAGCAAAACATCTTTAAGGAAGGTAAGAAAAACACACATCCCTGATCTCAACCCATTTTGTGGGTATGAAACACTGACTGAAAAAAAAAAAAGGTTAATTTCTTCAGAGGCAGAAACTCATATTTTTGGCAGGGGAGCTACATGTTGGAATGAGTGAAAGATTTCCATCGTTTTGAATTGAAGATCAGGGACAAACCATCGAGTTTAGATACAAACAGGCAGTCAATCCAGGAACACCTCACAGATTAATTCAGGTTCAATTCAATTATTTAGACCTTTAGGAAATTAACGGTAAAATTTCAATTTAATTCTATTCTAAGGTAAAATACCTTTTTAGTTCTTTTTAAGCTTTAAAGGTTTAAAGATATTGAGAACTTTACAGATGCTATATATAATTTCAATCAATACAACAGAAAGAAAATGAGTACAGCTCACATCAGCCTTGGATTTTATATTAATCAAAGTCATCTTGTGAAAGACACAGAAAAGGAAAAGCTATTATGTCAGTCCACTTAGTTACAGGTGTTTTAATTCTTCTTTCTTCCTTAATGAATTACTTAGCAATTCTGTAAATATATGGGAGCTTAGTTTTATTTTTTAATTTCATCACACATTAAAGTTTATCTTTGCTTACTACTGGATTTTTTTATATGAAGGAAAGAATCAACTTTCTACTTTCATGTTTGTTTCCTGAGCACTTGGTGTTTCATCCCTACGATCAGCTGCTAGTTCAGTAATTCTCACATCCTCTTTACATGTAACAGATGCTCTTGAAGTTTTTCCTAGAGATTTATGTACTATGTAGACACTGACATCAGGACATTCTTCCCAAAAGAACACAAAATTAAATTAAAATGACCCATCTTTATAATATAAACATAAAATGTTTCTTTTTACAGCAATGAATGTTAACTTCATGCTTCAAAGTTGAAACTATTTTATGCAGTATTAACATACTGTACATTTACTGTTTGAGATATTCTAACCTATTGTTTTTGATCACAGTAGGTAAATACCCAGCTATGAGTAGGTGGAAATAATGATCAGATCATCAAAATATATTTTTATCCAACATCTTGAAATACTGAGAGTAAACTCTGAGTAATCCAAACCACTGGATTTTATCTGCAGGTTCATTATGTCATTCAGGCAATAATAATCATATGGATGATAGTAATCAAAAGCAAAACTGAAAAAAAAAAAGCACCTTGGTTTCTCAGTTTGGTATTTGTTATAAAAGGAAAAAAAATTAAACTAAGTATCTATTAAACTATCCCTCATGATAAATACAGGGTTTTTTTTTCTCTGGAGAACTAACATGACAATAACAGCCCTATAATGTCCCTGGACAATCCGCTCCACTCAAAAAAACATCAAACTAAATTACATAAATGGAAGTGTGGCAACTCCCAAACAATACAGTTGCAAGGGATCTTAAGACACTTGCATTTAAGATACATAAAGCTTTCTTCTCTGCTTCTCAGAGGGAATATCACAGGCAGGTGGGGCATCATGATCTCACTTTTATTTGCAGAAAACTTAAGGCAGCCACTGAGCACAATGAGAAGCACAGTAAATGACAAGAAGAGAAACACTAAAGGAATTGTGTTTGTTTAGTCTATTGAAAGGATCCCCAAAGTGGGACAAGTTTTTTAGAGGTGTTTTTCAAGCATTTGAAAAAGAATGAGCAGTTTGCTCATTCTCCACTGTGGGGCCAAGGAGCAACCTACATAAAATGGAGTAAGAGACATGTGATACACATTTAGGAAGAATGCATAAGAACTGGAATGGGAAACCATGGAATTACCAAGAATACATCACCTGTCATCAATGACAGGCACATAATCAGTTCAGCCATACAACAGTTGCAGGGATTAAATATTCTTGGCCCAATCAAATCTCTTTGGAAACTCCAAATTACATTGTATTTTAATAAGGATTCACAATAAATGTGTTGATTCACTTGTTTCATTTGTAATATGATCAGACCCATAGTAAAATAAAACAGTGTTCTTTATTCTCATAGAAAAAAAATGAGATGGCAGTCCAGTATACAACTAACAAAATAATAGAAGAGTTTTAATAATTAACATATATGTCTATACCTTACTGTAAAATAAAAATAGTAAAAACAGTAAAAGTAGAAAACATAGACATTAACAAAATATTTAAAAGGAAAAAAATTCTTACTAACATTTTATCAACTTGCTAGATGCATTTTTGCAAACAAGAAATATAAAGGCAAAAATGGAAGTCTCTAAAGAATTAAAAAGTAAAACTTCAAGAATCACCCAAAACCCAACATTACTAATTTCAAGAAAAAATAAAATCATGCATTCCATATTTTTCAGTGCATCACAACTGTGGAGAAGAAATGTTACCATAGTAACAAGGTTATCAGTAACTATTATATATAGCTTCTTCCTTTTTTGACAGGGGATTTTGAGATTAACCTTTCAAATATCCCTTCAACACACAGTATGAAAAACATGCTGCTTCAGAAAGATGGCAGGGAGGGAAGTCCCACACTGTTCTGAGTGCGTCATTTTGGGGATGATAGACAACATCATCTGGGACAACTTTAGAAACTGCTATTCTAGGCATCCTCTTACCATTAAACCTGAATACCCTGCAATTAACCCACGTATCACAGCAGTAAAACAAATGAATAATTATGCATAACAATGCTGAAACAATCCTGGTGGAAGGATTCACTTACAGGCACATAAGATATACCATATAAACCTGTTCCAATAAATAAAACAGCACATTCAGAAATAGTTTTTCATATTTATTATATCTTCACATTTAAAGGATGAAGAAAAAGGCAGCTGTCCTAGGCCATTAAAGAAGAAGAATAGATTCATAACACTTTCTTGCAATATAACTACAAAAATATTGTCACAACATATGTGTACTAAATGGTCTAGAACACTCCAATGTCTAATGTTAAACACTACTCTTAGAGTATGAGTGCTGGAAAAGGTTTGTATGCTTTTCTCAAATAACAGAATAAATTTTTTATTAAATTCATTTTTAAAAATTTTCATTATTTGTATTGGTTTTTACTATGATATTATTATATTAACAGAAGAAGAAGTATTCCTAAGATACTAGCTATCTTCAGGTTGTAAATATAGGCCTTCTGACAAATGGACAAAATAAAAAAAATTCCCAAATGACAGACAACCTCACATGCCCATTCAGGACACAGCTGCTGTTAGTCATATCATCTGCAATTTCCAATTAAACTCTAGGGGTTTTGAGACTTTTTCTAGATTTGGTTGCATTCAGAAGAAGAAAAGAAAATGGATAAAGTATATTTAGCTGTTCATTCTGTATTACTATTTGTAAAAATTTTTCAATTATCTGTCTGTCCCAAGAGAGGTATGTTATAGAATTATGCAAATATATGCAAGAGTGAACTAAGAGATTACATAATCAAAAACTAAATTTGTGACAAGTGTAAGAATACTCACACTTGTGGACTGAAGGTTACAGTTCTCACCATCACAATTATCAAGATGACAACGGTTAAAATCAGAGAAATAAGAGATATCTGTAAAGATAAAAATATTACTGCAGTCAGTAAGATCCTGAAAGGTTGTTCTTTTAGCAGCACAATGTATTTGTTAATAATTTTACATTAAGTTATGACTGGCACTTATTTTTTAATGGCATACAAAAAAACAAACCGCTGTTATGATTTACCTTTCCCAATTTTGCTATGTCTTGATATAAAGATATGGGTAAGGTAAAGATGATGGTGGTAAGAAGAATTATGAAGTGACGGTCAGTAAGCACGTTATCCAGCCCAACTAAAGAAAAAAGAAAATAATTTATTTCCTTAAGAGACTCACATGAGGAACAGATTTCTTACATTTGAAAGTTTAGGAAAAAAGAAACTGTTGGTGATCAAACTTCTACCCCCTTTACTCAAGCTAAGTAACACTGAAAACTAGGCATTAACTAACCTTTAGGAAGCCATGCACAGCATGTGCATAATCAAAAGAACTCTGCAAATTCAAGCCAAATGCATAATTTATGGGATATATTAAACTAAAATTAGAAAGTCTGGCATTCCTACATATAGATTAGTGTTAATGTCTTTCATCATGTCTGGGTCAATGTTGGGAGACTGCAAGTAAAACATTCTACTACTTCTTTATGCCATTTACTCTTGAGGATTTTTTCACACTGTGTGTTGACTTCAATTACTGGGCTGTTGAAGATAGGTCAAATCTTAAAGAACGATCCTAAAATAAGTTAATTTTGAGGTTTCTTTTGAACACCTTTCTTGCCATCAGCTGGCTTCCACTTGCAAAATAGATTACCATGTGAAGGCAACAATGTTATACTATTCCATGCAATCAGTGGGATTTATTTGTGTAACTGGTGGTTTTTTTCAAGCCAATGACAAAATAAAACACATCTCAGTTTCAGTCAGGCTACCATAAATCCTGGGCTTGAATGAACACTTGCTGAATAATTTTGGCTGGAAAGTGACTGGCAATTAACATGGAAAAATCTGTGTTCTGTTCCCTCTTTTCTTTGAGAGATTATAATGCTTTCCCACATCTTTCCAGGTGGGTATTCTACCAGACAGGTAAAAAAATTTGCCATGCTGGGGGTTCCTCCTATGACAGAAGTCATATTACATATCAATCATTAGATATTCACTGTCACTATCAATTTGATCAGGTATGCACAGAACAACAGAGTGTGACAGTTAAAATTACATCCACACCTTGCAGGCTTCACATGCTGAAAACTATAATCCTCCTGTGGAGGCTTTGTGCTAAAGTAGATCACAAATGAGCACACAAATTGCTCCACTGATTCTGCTGTGAAAACTTAAAGCACAGGAAGGGACACAAGGGCATGAGTTAAAAAGCTCAAAGTGCCACATCTGGTTTTGCAGTGAATATCTAAGAGAACTGAAAGTTACACACACAGTTCATGACCAGCTACTACAGATACACTTAAGTAAACATTAAATTCATTATATTATTTGCAACTCATCCCGAATTATTCACCAGACGAAGTGCGGTTTCAAGTGCACTTCAAATGACCATTACAGGAATTATCTAAAAAAGATGACAAAAAATGATGTTGTAAATAAACAACTGGGGAAGACCCACTTCTATTTGCTTAGTATTTCACTGAAGCATGTGGTCCCTTCACTGACACTGAGTCCACTGATAACCAAAGACTAGGGGTTTTATTTAGGAAAGACTTACTGAAACAGAGAAAGAAAATACAAACCCCAAGCTAAAAAACAAAACAAAACAAAACAACAAAAAAACCAAAAACAAAAACAAAAAAAAAACCACCGAAAAAAAAAAACCCAAAACCAAAAACCAAAAACTTCAAGAAAAACCAAAAACCAAAAACTTCAAGAAAACCCACTCATAGAAACAGGCTTCAAGTTCTTAACTTGAACTATATTTAAGAGCAATTTAGAAGCAAAGTAACAGGTAATCCCCAAATACTTACGCTACACTCCTATCCAATACATAATCCCCCATTCTGAATTTTTAAAATGCCTCTTACCTCCAGGAATTCTCTGAAAAACTTTGGTTAAAGTGTCTCCTGTTATTATGTTGTAACTGATCATAGCTTAAAGAAAAATAATTTTTTTTGTTAGCACAAGTCATATCCAAAATATTTGATAAACACTGAACACACATATTTTGCAGACTTCAGGATCATATGCCACTGTCCCTCTTATACAAATCCTGGCTAGCACCAAAAAGTTGTAAGTTTCAAGTTTAAAACAGAATTAAATTTTATTTTTTTCTTTGGTTTTCTTTTTTTTAAACAGGTACAACCTAAGCAATAATTCAGCCTGATAAGCAAGGCCATTGTGCTGACTTGACATATAAACTTAGTTCAGAAGAGGTAAAAAAGGTTTTTTAAAACAGTTGGTTTCAAATAGCAATTCTTTGTCAGTTTATTTTCAAATACTTGTTTCGATTTAGTAAAGTTCCTGTGTTAGTCTAATAATTAGTCCTGCAATGAAACACAAGGGACTTTCTAGCTAATGCAAAAAACTAGCAAAATCTTTAAACCAGAAGAAAGGAGAAAATAGACTAAGATATCAGATATGGACTTCCAGTCCTCTCTCACATTAATAAGTGCTGTGGACTTAACATTCACATGTCATTCTTGTCTAATTCTACACTAAAAGTGTGTATATTTGTGCATGTGTGTATACATATAAAATATATTTATACACTCGTGTGGTATTCAACAGTCAGACAGCATACATGTAGGTATTGACCTTAATGCATAAATATCCACTGTTGTGAAATTGTAAGTTATTAACGCTACTTACAGAAATAAATTCAAGCACATACAAGTGCATAACTAGTTCCACGGTGAGGATTGAGACCTTTACAATTCTTTTTCATATTATCTACAAAGTAGTTGATTTACAGTGGGGGATAATTACATGTGTAACATTGCCACCTGCAGTAACAGCAACCTGACTCCCTTAAAAATCTCAGCTACCTGTAATAGGACTGATCATTCACAAAGTAGGAATTTTGACCTGGGTATCCCAAGTCACCACCTCTTGCAGCCCCATGTGTGAAACTATCAAGATCATATAAGATTTGATTTGATCACGTTACTCCTGTAAGGGACAGATTCAGAATATCACTTTATTTCAAACTTCTCGTCTCATAAATTCCTGCCCAGATTATACCTGTTTGTTCTTTTACTATTTCCTCTTCAAAGAAGTCTTGACTGCCCTACCTCCCAGTAGCTTCTTGGGCATGAGGCTGAACTAATGCTTTTGAAGAGCAATGACAGCACACAATATTCAAGCAAGAGCTGATTAGTGGCTTTTTCAATTACAGTAATATTGCATCTCTGAAAAAATAGTAAATCCATATACTCCTAAAGCTGTGTTTTCCTTTTGTTTTAGGCTCATCAACTTTGTGCTCTGGTACTCATTCTAGAACAGAATCTCCTTTGCTATTTTTTTTGTCATTCATTTTTACATGTGTGATCATGAATTTCTCTGCTATTACATCTCAGTTCATTTCTATTATTCTGGTCCTCCAATTCATTGAATTCTTCCTCGGTCGTTCTTCAGAACACACAAAGTAAATTTAATTATTTTACTGAATAGTAGAGAGGCATATATAGTATATTCTTTACACAGTTCTTAATATTTAACCAGTGAAACAATGAGGCAATGTAAAAAAGCTTGTTACTTGTAAAACTCAGACATTGATACTTTATGTGATCTTACCAATAAATGGATATAAAAACTGAAGAGTTGAAAGAATTATATAACCTGCACGACCATAGGTTTTTCTGACCAGCTCTTGATATGTGTTGGTATTGGACAGATTTCCTCCTTTGATTAGTAATATAATGGAATAATCTGTTAAAATATAAAGTACTGTTAAAGACAATATGAACTAGCTTATGGTTTGTTACTTCTCATCTTCTTTCACTCCTTAAAAAAGAAAGTCTCTTAAAAGGAAAACAGTGTCATTGGGAGGATTGGGGACTAGAAATCTCACAAAATATTTCAACCCACCAAATCCCGGAGTTATAGGTTCATATTGGAAGGAAAATATTCAAAATCATAGTACAACCAAAGGTTTGCATTCTGTGGTACATTTAAAAACAGTGATATACAACCCACTCAAGGATCAGTCTCCTAATTAGGGTAAAAACAGTGGATTAAAACATGTCGTTATGGGGCACAAATAAAAACATTCTTTCAAATGTTACCTTGACTAGTCCAAGAAACTAGGCTTTATGAAAATAAATGCACACAAAAAGCAGCTTTATATGTTGTACAGTGTAATTCTCTACTTTTACTAATCTGCTCAAGGGATTAGTGAGGTAAAAGAAAAAATTAGTAATTTCTACTCTCATAGATATACTTGTTCAAGGTATCATAAAGCTCAAGAACAGCCAAAATGTCACAGGACTACTGTGACAGAAACTGCCTTTGGAGTACCTGTGATGTAGGCAACCACAAATAAAAGCAGTACTCCTAGAGGAAAACCAGCTTCCTTCATTGAATATGGCAATCCTGCAAAGAAAAGGAGAGACTTATAGAAGAACCTTTACAAATAATTATTTGTGACAACCAAAATAAAGAAATATTCAGATTTTTAAAAAAATGCTAGGAATCTCCAAAATTGGACCAGCATGCTTAATAACCCCAGAGAGATCATTTTCAGTGGACAAAGTGTTCCCCAGGTGTGAAGTTCTGTTAGCACCTGTCCAGCCTCTCTGATCATTATGGCCAGGAGGCTGTGGGGTATTTGTCACTGAGATGTGATCTCAGCTGACCCCTCTGCATTTTTGCATTGTAAGCAAATAAATACAGAGAAAAATCTTTAGAAACAGCAGCAGAAAGTAAGATGACAGTGTTATTCTCCAAGCTGGATAATCATGCATGAATAAACAAGGCTGAACACAGAAGAGCAAAGAAAAGTAGACTTACCTATAATGCCTGATCCTATGATTGAATTGACAATGTTAAACGCAGCTGATGCCAGATCACTGTTTCCTCCTTTTTTCCTGGGCTTACTAAGGAGGGCTATTTGGTCATCTGTTTCTACCTATTTCAGGAAGACAATGAAAACACTGTACATGAGAAAAAAGAGGTGAGAACAAGGATTTTACATGTAGTCTATGAAAGATAAAGAACCCCCACTTTCCATAGACTCAGATTTGTAGAGGTATTTTGATAAATAAATCCCATTTCTTTCAGTGAGAAATCAAAGGGGTATTAGGCATCTAATTCCTGTATAAGTCTGACCCATAATCTTCTGTAATTCTTCTCTGAAAAATAATAAGTGGAAGGACAGAAATGTATATAAACTCAGAGGTAGGCTGCTAAACAAAGAGCTTTTTAGTCACATTTCAAAGGTAGAAATGGGAATCAAGTGTTTTTGAAAATACTTTGGCTAATACAACTAGTCAGCAAAAATTTGCCCCTGAATCAGGGAAATGAAATTAATTTTAAGAGTTACTAGTAAAGCTTGTCAACATTTGGATATACTCTAATCCAAGGTCTTATCCAGTATTTTAAATATTTCTGTGCCATTCAATGGTTTAGTTAATTATGAATAGTCCCAGAAAGTTTCTGTTGGAGAGTCTGGTAGAAGCCAAAATTCAAAGCACATTTTGTAGCAAGTGGCTTCAAAAATTAAATTTCTAATCTTCATAAAGTATTTCTTCATAAGCAAGCAGTGGTCCTCTCCTCAGATCACCACTACACTGTCAGAGAACATTTTAGAATTAGAAAGACAGTATTTTAAGTGAAGTTGTGAAATTCAAAAAAAGGAACATTTAATGAAGAAAATGCCTGCCTCTGTTCTACAAAAGCAAAACATGGTGTACTTAGTCTGAAAGTAAAACCACTATTTCATGGATGCAAGAGCCTATTTAACTTACATAGCAGGTAGTATAAACTCAGATGCTTGTCACTAATCCTCCCGGAAAAAAAAATTATTGAAAAATCTAAAAGTCATCTGTAGATAGAGGCATAAGCTGACAAGCATAAAAGTGCCTGCCTCAAGGAGGGCTATATATTTAATTGGAACCTTCAATCCTTAAGCAGTAGTAACATAAGAGTAATACTGGCTCAGATCAAAGGATAGTATAGCCTGGTATCCCATTTCTGAGAGTGACCATGGAAGGTGCCTAGGGAAGAGCATAAGGACATGGGACATAGCCAGTTAGCAAATAACTTTCCTGTTCCAGCTTCTCTCAGTTTGTGTATTCTGGATTTCCCAAAGTAGACGTGTTCTTGGTGCATTACATCCCTTAATGGATTGCTCTTTGAATTTTCTCTTTTTTGAAATTATGTATAATTTTTAGCATCTGCAATGTCATGTGGCAATGAATGCCATGTTTTAACTATGCATCATATAAACAGACAGGTATTTTTCTTTGTTCTGAATCTATCATTAAGTATATCCACCTGGTGTCCCAAACATTTCTGTCATCGCAGACAAACCAACCACTAATTTCTATCTTCTTCATATCACATACAGTTTCATAAGTAACATTCTCCCTCAGCTGTTTTTTATCTAGACTTACTGGTGCTACATTTCTATCTCACTACTGACTTCAGCAGCAGGAGCATCCCTGTCATTCTCTCCTGAAATTTTAATGCCTTCTGCTACTTACAGCACTGTACACGTGGAATTGCAATGAACTAGAACAGTCCAGTTCCCTCTCTTCAGTTGCTACAAGAAATGAACAAAATGTGCATTGTGCAACCCTGGTCCCTTCCCCACTCGGAAGGGACCCATTTAAATGGGCAAAAAGGAGAAGAAAGGGCAACAGAAGATGTGACAGAGGTGAAACGGCTCCGGTAGCGCTCTCGAGGGTGCACCTGGCCTGCAGACGGGGAGGGACGTCTGCTGGGAGCCCGGCTAGAGAGCTCTGCAACGCAGCAGGCTGCAGAAGAGGGAACGGGAGGCGTTCGTCTCTCGCAGGGTCCTCTCCTGGGGCCACTCGCTATGGCACCGACGGCGCCGGGCACGGCAGGAGATGATGGGGCACGGCAGGAGATGATGGGCACAGCAGGACCACGGCTTTCAATTGCCCAGGGGAGGGGGGGGGGGTCCTCACTCGCCCTACCACCGCAACGTGTTCAAGAGGCGTGCCCACAGACTCGCGCCCCTTGTTCTCGCCTAGCGCTTACAAGGGAATAGGAGCCCCTCAGAAGCGCATAGCATCCTTTGTTTTCCTCCTCCGTTGGTACCGTATGACTCTTACTCTCCCTCGTACGAGTTCGGGGACAAACCAGAACAGAGACGAACCGAGGCCGGGCATTACGCTGCCCCATCGCTTTCCGGCCGTGGAGCGGGGACGTTCCAAGGACAGCGGCAGCTGTCGCGCTCAGCCGCCACAAACGGCGCGCTGACCCCGGTCGCATGCTCCAATGGCCCTTGTCATGCCCTTCGCGGACTACGGGCCGACAGTGGGTCAGGTTGGGTGTCGGAGGGCTTCGCTGTTAGAGACCCGGAGAGCCGCGCCGCCTTCGCTCCGCTCCCGCTGTGCAGGTGCGGCCCGGAGTACTCCTTTGGCGAGGTCCGGCGGCCGGCGCGGTCTCCATCGCCCGCGGGGCTATAGGGGGAGCGGCGGGTCCCTCACGGTCAGCCGCTGGGGCTGCGGGGTGCCCTCGGCCCGCCGGCACGGGCAGGGACCGGGGACGGCCGGGGGCTGTCCGCCCGGGCGGGCTCGGGGGGTCCCGGCGGCACTATCCGCGGTGTGTTGGGAAGGCGGTGTAGTGTTGTCGCCGCAGGGCTGACCCGCGAGTCCGTGCCCGGCCCAGCCCGCACACGGACCTGGTTAGGAAGAGCGGAGCGGGGCGCGAGCGGCGCCCAAGCCCCGCACGGGCGGGCGGGGGCTCTGAAGCGGCGGCCCCTCCTCCGGGACACCCTTCCCTGGAAACGCTCCAGAAAGTAAGTGTCTCTGCCTCCAGTCTGTGAGGTCCCGAGTTTACCCAGTCCTTGTTTATCCCGAGGGCACAAGGAAAGTTTTCTCGGTGGGATGTGCAGCGAAAACTAGCTCAAATGTCACTGCTGCTCGTTCGTGGTTGCTTTTTAATTTCGGTGTTATTGGTGAGGGCTCGCCACTGCAGTCCTTGTTTGTTCTCCTCAGGGAGGGCAAGCCGCTTTTAAGGATGCTAAGTCAGATAAAGAAAACACCGAGGTTCCAGTGCAAGTACGGGAAGAGGCCAAACTAATTAAAGGTGCAAAATGACAGTGCTGAAAAGTTTAGAGTCTGTAGATAGCTCTGTTACCGTGAGCAGCCTCCATCAGAAAAATGGTTTGTCAACATGGAACAAGCCACACAAAGAAATGTACATTTTAAACAAAAACCTGTAGGAAGTAGTAAGCACTGATAAAATTGGAGACAGTCATGAATTTTGTGGAGTATTGCTGCACATAAAATTTAGGGCCTACAAGAGTGAAAAAACACTTTGGGAACTTAGTCCAGTTACTAGAGGGCACCATCAATTGAATGTGAACCCAAAATTTTCAACAAGATTAAATCATTATGGGGAAAAAAGTCCCCGAGAGATGACAACTTAACAGCAGAAGAAAATAGAGCATGATAATTTCCTTTCTATAGTCTTAGGAACTCTTATATTTGATAATACTTTATTACGGTGAACTGTGGTGGTTAAAGGAGCACATGTGCTGTGCATCAGTAATTTTGTCCTTAAAGATCTATGATGCATATGATTTAATATGGAGAACAAAGTGCACATGAAGAGCATATATGACATTTTTGTTCAACAGCTTAAGCACATTAGCTTCAACTTCTTCAAAAAAAGTCTCTAATCAGCTCCATGACAAGCTACAAGCTGACATGTATTCTTGTGTGACCAGTCAGATGACATGACTCAGCAGAGAAAAGTTTAGAGGCATAAAATGCAGAGAAAATTCCTGTGATTTGTAGCAATGCTATTTTCTTTCTTGAACTGTACAAAGAATTCTCTGTGAAAACACATAATGAAGCTGTTTTAAAGCAGAGTGTAATAAAGCATACAGTATGTTTTCATGACAGTCTTCTACCAGACTCTCTACGTTTAGTACTGTAGCAACTTCCTCACAAACCCACGTGCTCTACAATAGTCCCTCTGAGTTATGTGATTTTGTTTTAATTCCTATTTGAGGTGTGCATTTGTTACCTTAGAAAATACTTTCTGTTTTATGCAAATACTTTCTCTTTTATGTCCTTGCTATTAATCAGATACTTTCTTCGGGCATCCTTTTGACACAAATTAAGTGAAGCTCCCACTGTGCAGCTCTTTGTATGTGAGGGGGACAGTGCCAAATGTGGCACCCACTTATTTAAGAGTCCTAGAATTTTCCTTTTATCAGTCATAGTGGCTTGATTCCAAGTAGTGTTTGTAAACTTACCAGTTTTAATTCAGTGTACTAACAGTGAATTAGGGAAAAGAATTGGCACATCCCAAAAGATTGTATAGAGGTGGTTTTTTTGTGTACTATGACAGCTCTGTGCTCCTTGCTATGCTTTGGGATGTGGTTATTGCACAGAAAGCTTAACACTGGTTTTGGTCTTAGAAGCGTAGGAGTACATTCTGAATGAAATAAAATTACAGGATGCACTGAAAGTCCATAATCCACTGTTTGCATTATGTTCCATGGGAGTTTGCTGCAGGACACTTTGTACAATAATTTACCCCACTGGTTGCAGCACAGGGCTGAGCTCTGAAGGATGCCAACACAGTTAAACCACAGGGCTAGGACAATTACAAAAAAAAAAACAACAACCAGAAGACATCTTCCAAAAAGATGGACACAAAGGAAGTTGTGTCCAAAAAAGGAAACAGAATCATAAATCCTCATGAAATGTGGAAACATATTAAGGCAGGCTAAAATGAATTAGAGCAACAACCAGCAAAAAAGAATCGTTATCAGTAACTGTAGTATTTATGAACAGAAATCCTGAGGATCCACAGAAAATTTAGGCTGGGTGGGAAGAGCAATCATAATAAAATCAGAACAGAGAAAGTAGAGAGGGTTTTTTTTTTTTTTTTCACTGGAGAATATCTTGGGAAGTAGAGAGGT